GGCCGCGCCCAGCTGCTCGCCACGTCGCCCTGCTCGCGGCATCGCCACCTGCCCGCGGCGTCGCCACCTGCCCGCGGCGTCGCCACCTGCCCGCCGCGTCGCCACCTGCCCGCCGTGTCGCCCTGCCCGCGGCGTCGACCCTGCCCGCCGCGTCGCTCTGCCCGCCGCGTCGCCCCTGCCCGCGGCGTCGCCCCTGCCCGCCGCGTCGCCCTGCTCGCGGCGTCGCCCCTGCCCGCCGCGTCGCCCTGCCCGCCGCGTCGCCCCTGCCCGCGCGTCGCCCCTGCCCGCTGCGTCGCCCTGACCTACCCCGCGCCTTGCCCCTGGAGCAGCCACCTCTGGAGCAGCCGCCCCTGCAGCAGCCGCCCCTGGCCCCTGGAGCAGCCGCCCCTGCAGCAGCCGCCCCTGGCCACTGGAGCAGCCGCCCCTGGAGCAGCCGCCCTTGGCCACTGGAGCAGCCGCCACTGCAGGAGCCGCCCCTGGCCCCTGGAGCAGCCGCCCCTGGAGCAGCCGCCCCTGCAGCAGCCGCCCCTGGCCCCTGGAGCAGCCGCCCCTGCAGCAGCCGCCCCTGGCCACAAGAGCAGCCGCCCCTGGAGCAGCCGCCACTGCAGGAGCCGCCCCTGGCCCCTGGAGCAGCCGCCTCTGGAGCAGCCGCCCCTGGAGCAGCCGCTGTGGCGACCCCGCAGTCGCCTCCGTCGTGCGCCTGCCCTTCCCACCACTGGTGAGCACTGCCCTGCTCGTGCTGCTACTGCTGTTACTGCTGCTGCTACTGCTTCTACTGCTGCTCCTGGCGTGGCCAGATGCAGCTCCATGGTCGTCCTCGTGTGTCCCTCACGCCCCAGCAGCTTCCTGAGTGGTACGCCAGTTGGGGTTGTCGGGGTGGCAGTAGTGGGAGTCGTCCTGGAGTGGGTAGTTCGGGAGTTTCTTGTAGTGGCCCGGTGCAGCAGCAGCGTCGTCTACGCGAGGCTCTTTCGCCCCAGCAGCTTCGTGAGTGGTACGCTCAGAGTAGAGGGTCACTGAGTACTGCTCGCTGCCCGTACGTCATTCGCACAGGTGTCCGGACTGGTCAGCCTTGCGGGACACGTGGTCACACAGAGTCCCACTGCTTCGCCCATCTGGGCGACGCTTGGCGTACAGAGTTTGGCGACGACGCTGAGCTCCCCGACTGGGTGGAGCTGCTTAGGCAGAGGGTAGATATCTATGCTCTTGACTATGATGCTATCCTCACTGCCATGTATGCATTGTCTACTAGTGCTGAGAGTGCCTGTCACCTGTGTGTGCCGCCTGACCCCGGTATCCAGTCTGCTGCTCTAGGTACTGGTGAGGCTGCCGCACTAGGTGCTCGTGTGTCTGTTGCCTCAGGTGCTGGTGAGGCTGCCGCTCTAGGTGCTAGTGTGTCTGTTGCCCCAGGTGCTGGTGAGGCTGCTGCTCTAGGTACTCGTGAGTCTGCGCCCTCTGGTACTGCGTCTACTGAGGCACTGCACACCTTCACACTGGACTCAGGCGCTTCCCGCTGTTTCTTTCGTGACCGCACTGCCCTTGAGCAGCTTGCTCGGCCGGTTGCAGTCTCCCTCGCTGACCCCTCTGGGGGTCCGGTCATTGCGACCTCCTCTACTGTTCTCCCTTGTCCTGCGGTCCCGTCGGGCACACTGTCAGGTCTCTACCTCCCCTCGTTCTCTACGAACTTGGTGGCGGGGGTGAGAGATGAGGTCCTCAGCGGTGGTAAACGAGGACAGGTCGGGGAACAGGTAGGGTAGCATAAGTCGACCGAGGGCTGCAGTGGCCGGGGAAGAGTAGCGGGCAACTACGGCGTCGTACAGTGCCTTGGCAGTCTTGTGCTGGCTAAAATGCGCGCGCTCTGTGATCGGCAGGTGGTTGCGAATAGCTAGGCGCGCAGCAGCATCGCGGGTCTGCCACTGGGAGCGGGCTAGAGCAGGCTCAGTATCAGCAGGAGCAACGGCAGTGCCAGACACGTAATCGAACAGGGAAACACCGTCCTTGGCATCAGTCAGGAGGAACAGTTGCAGGTCGTCGAGCCAGGTGGCGAACTCTACTGGACGACCGTCAGGATCGAACGCGAGCACATTAAGCGTCGCCATAGTAGCAGTGCAGGCAGGGCAGTGGAGATGGCGTGCAGGGCAAGCAAACGCGCGCAGTAGAGAGGCACGCGCGGCAGGAAAGGCGCTCAAGGCAAGCACGCGCACTTGGCAGGCAGGCGCTCAAGGCAGGCAGGCACTCAAGGCAGGCAAGCACTCAAGGCAGGCGCTCCAGGCAGGCTAAGACAGGCAGGTGCGCGGCTCACGGGCGGCACATGGGCAGGGCACGCGCGGCTGCGGGCTACGCGCAGCTGCGGGCTGCGCATGGCTGCTGGCTGCGCGTGGCGACGGGCTGCGCGCTGCTGTGGGCTGCGCGCAGCTGCTGGCTGCGTGTGGTGACGGGCTGCGCGCGGCTGCGGGCTGCGTGCGGCGGCGGGCTGCGCGGGCGGGGCCTAAGCGGGCTGTGCGCGGGCGGCTTAAGCGGCGCGCGGGCCGGCAGCAGGCTCCGCGGGCGGCTAACGCGGCGCGCGGGGCCGAAAACGGGCTGCGCGGGCTGCTTAAGCGGCGCGCGCGGGAAAAAAAAAAAGGGCCGTGCGCGGGCAGCAGGCAAGGCAGGCAGGCAGGCAAGGCGGTAGGTGAGGTAACGCGGTAACCGGTGGGCCCTAATCTTAGGTCCTAAAGACCTACTGCTCTAGATACCATCTTAGAAACTTAGGCATGGATGACTTGCAGTGTCGAGAGATTTTGGTACAAGGAAGAAACCTAAGGGGTTGTACCCCACAGTATCTACCCCACTACAGCCTACCCAAAACTATAACACATATATATGTTTGACAGCTTCTACTACTCCTATGATTCTGACAGATAGTTCCCACCCAGCTTTTTTTTCTTCAGGTGAGGGACATCATGATGACTCCAGATTCATGCGTGACATGTGACTATTAGTCTACACATGAAACCTTGTGGTATGCTAAAGAAATGATGAGTACTTGGAAAGGAAGAGTTAACGCCACTGATATTGTTTGACACTTAGAACGCTGGATTCTCATGCGGCCTGGCACATGGATGTTCGCCTGACACCTAGAAGGCATCGGTCAGAGAAAAGGAAAATCTTGCTATTGTTTGACTATATCAGTGCTCTGATAAATTCTGTCAATGATATCTGACAGGGTCAAGGCCAATCATAGCATTTTTCATCTCCACTGCCACAATCTGCTATCAATCTTGACTATGCCTAGGCCTTAATTGCGGAAGCAACCCCAGCTAGCCTACTTATGCACACATAACAGATCCATATACCGTAATGCTTGTATGCTTGTACATAACCCGAAGCGCGGGTCTCCCTATACCTGGAACTTGTTGTTCAATGAACCTTGCCAACAAGGAAAAATGTGGCGTAATTCATTCGCCGCCGAAAATGTCTGACACCCTTGGGATTGGTCTGGTGTCGAGCCAACGGCAACCTCCTTCCGAACAGGGATTTCGTTACAGGCATCGAACTTGGTTGTCACAGCTCGTTTTCCAAACAAAGCCCAGAAACCCTGTCTGGGCCTGACGAAATTCGCGAGCTCTGTCTGTGTCGCCAAATGCATAGCTGAATCGTCCACCACCAAATAAGCCAACTCGTCGTGGTATCCACACATTCTTTGAGACCTTAGTTACCCTTGACGAAATCGTTGCACAAGACAGAATTACGCCTTGCAGGCTTGTTTCGTCCTATTTTGAGTCCCACGTCTGGACTGTACCCCGTCATATTCATTTGCTCACCTCCTCGGGATTCCCCATTTCGCTTTCAATTGACGCTCCGTAAGTGTGACGGTGGCCTTCAAGTTTTTCTCCCTCGGACTATGCATGATTAGCAGTTTTACCTGAAAATCACCACGTGAAGTTATATGTATTGGAGTGTCAAGCTGCTACGTGCTGTATTGGGGCGTCTCGCCCCTTTCAGCTAGCGCCATGTGTCGGCTGATGGTGTATTTAGGCACGCCATGCCTACTAGCCGACTTGGTTACCAAACCGTCTAGATCGCTAACGCGCCAGTCCTACGACGCTAAGGAACGTTTAACGGGTCATGGATACCTTAACGGGGACGGATTTGGGATCGGATGGTACTCACCCGAAGGCCATGGGCCTTTAGCGATCGAGGATCCGACGCCTTGCGTTTTCTCCTCCATTCAGCCAGCCTGGAACAATGGTAACCTCAAGCGGTTGGCGAATAAGATCATCTCGCCACTCATCTTCGCTCACGTTCGCGCGGCGTATCCGGGAATCCCCGTCAATGACTCCAACTGCCAGGTCCGATGATGCCATGTTACGTACATCGGGAATCCGATCCCTTTCTCTCTGACTGCTTGGAAGGAACCGTCACGATACACCTCGTTAGCGAAAACCGTTCGAGCGTTAGGTGATGGGGAACGTTCTTAGTTTGTCTTGGTTAGTTGGAAGGAACCGAATTTGCCCTCCTCACGCCTTTTTACCCTTCTTCTGCGCATTCCTCGATGCGTCTCCTGTTCTCATGCGCCTCAGAGATCGCAGTCGTTGCCAGCAGGACGTACAAACGTCACCCTTTTTCCACAATGTTTAAGGCGTTTAGAAAAAATAACGTGAGAAGGTTTCTCTTTTAGATGATTACTTCCTCTTTCCTCCTTTCGTCTCCCCTCCCAACCGTCCTGTTGTTCACCCTATGGCACGCCTGCAGGCGCAAGGCTGGGACAAGAGCGTTTCACAACGTTCCATTTTGGGTGGTAGACTCTAGTTTACCCCACGTCCCCCTCTCTCCTCCTTCCGTCTCCCAGCCTGCCTGTCCATCCTGTGGTTCCTCTGTTGGCACCACGGCAGGGTCGGGGGGATGTCACAACGTGCCTGCGAAAGTAACATTTACTGCAAAAGTACCCTTTCCTGCTCACAACTAGTATATCCTATTCCCTCCACGTCCTCCAGCCATTCGTGTGTGGGAGGTACATATGGATGCACAACGGTGGGGTGGGGGGGTTCCACAAGGTGCGGAGAAAGCTGCTGGAGTCACTGCGGGATGACGTGTACCAGCAGTGCCCCTCCTTCGAGTCCGACTCCGCCATCTGCTTCGCTCTCTTCCTCAACCAGATCCAAGACCCCATGCAGCAGCTCGCACCAGGTACGTGCTATTGTTTTGGTATTATTATTATTATTATTATTATTATTATTATTACTACTACTATTATTATTATTATACTCGCTATTGTTTTTCTAATCATTTTCTTTGTTTTGTCCAGCAGCTCGCGCCACAGTGTGCAGAGGACTTGTGAATATTGCATGCATGCATTGTATCTCCTTGACCCCCCTCCCATTGTGCCTGCTATGCGCTCAGAGGAGCTAGTGGCTCGGACGGAGGCGACGATCAACGAGGTGAACCATGCGCGGCCTCATACATGCATGTGTGTGCATTCTGTCTTGACCTCCCATCGTGCCTGCTATGCATGCAGAGGAGCTGGTTGCGAAGATGGAGGCGACGATCAACGAGGTGAACCGGCTGTGTGGCGAGGCGGGGGTGGCAGACGAGCTCTCTCTGCTCAACTTCGTTGTCTCCGACGGCCGCACTGTGGTGGCCACCAAGTGAGTTTAGTTTGGTGCTGGCCACCCAGTGAGTTTAATTTAGTGCTGGTGAGTTCATTATGTTCAGTTGGTTGCCACCGCACCGAGTGAGGTCAGTCCTTCCTTCTCCTCTCTCCCTCCTCTGCGGCAGACACCGAACAAGGAGTGTGTAGCGCCGCACGGAGTGTTGGGAGAAGTTGTCGTACATACCTCTGCTTTTCATGCCATATTCCCCACTCCTTCCTTCTCCTTCCGCCCTCCCACCCGGCAGGTATTGCAATCTGCCCCATGAGGAGTGTGCGACGCTGTACTACGCAAGTGGCAGCCGGTTTGAGGCGCTGGACGGCAGCAGCAATGATTACTTGGTGCGCCACGCCGACCGCCGTGGGCTGCTGGGGATCGTGGCCAGCGAGCCGCTCACTGATGAGAGTGCGGACTGGATTCAGGTGAGGGGGAGTGGTAGGGAGAGTAGTATAAGGGGATTCAAGTGCTGGGGATCGTGGCCAGCGAGCCGTTCACTATTGAGGAGCGCCTAATGAGGAGCGCGGATTGGATTCAGGTGAGAGGAGTGATGGTGGGGGGAGTGGGGAGGGGCATTGCGCGATCTAGGTAAGCCGCTCACGGACGAGAGTGCCGTCACATTCTCCTCTCCTTTCCGTTCTCCCGCTCTCTTTACTTTCCTTTCTTTCCTCCGCCCCGCACTCAGGTCCCACGCAACACGGCGGTGGTGATGACGCAATGTAAGCCCGAGTCGAATTCGCTCTTGAGTGCCGCCCCCCTCTCTCCCCCCCACCAGGTCCCGCGCAACACGGCGGTGGCGATGACGCGGTTCAAGGGCGAGTTCGTGTATGTGCTTCTGATGACTATGCATGTCAGCTTTGTTCTTGATTTGCCCCTCCACCTCCCCCATCAGGTGCCGCGCAACACTATGGTGGTGATGACGCGGTTCAAGGGCGAGTTCGTGGATGTGCTGCTCCTGAATCCCTGTACTCCCCACCCCCCACCCCTTTAGGTCCCGCGCAACACGGCGGTTGTAATGACACGGTTCAAGGGCGAGTTCGTGGATGTGCTGCTGGTGCCGTGACTATGCATGTCAGCTCTGCTCTTGATTTGCCCCTCCACCTCACCCACCAGGTCCCGCGCAACACGGCGGTGGTGATGACGCGGTTCAAGGGCGAGTTCGTGGATGTGCTGCTGGTGCCCATCAACCCGCCCCCCTCTGTGGCTCGCGACATCTCGCGCGCCTTCAAGGCCCTCGCCAGCTGCCCGCCCACCTCCCTCAAGGTCTCCCTCAGACGCCCCAGGCGAGCACAGGGGAGGAGGCGGGCGCCTGCTGCTGGGGCTCTGCAGCAGCGCCAGCAGCAGCAGCAGCAGCAGCAGCAGCAACAGCAGCAGGTGGGGCAGTCTCCAGTTTCCAGTACCTCTTCTCAAACGGCGTTTTCTGCAACTGCAACCACTCCACCTCCTCTTGCTGCTGGTGCTTCTCCCGCTGCTGCTGCTGCTGCTGGAAGTGTGTCACCGGCGGTGCTACCAGCAGGAGGGGCGGCAGGAGGAGCGGGCAGCTGGAAGGAGGGTTTGCGAGACCTAGTCAGAGATCAGGACGGGAGGGATACCACGGGAGACGAGGAGGAGGACGATGAAGATGATTTTGATGGGGACGCGGAGATTTACAGGTATCCCAGCAGCCAGTCTTGGAATGGTGGCATCAGCGGCAACGGCGGCAACAGCAGCAGCAGCAGCAGCAGTGCCAGAAGCGGTGGCAGCAGCAGGAGGTATCCGCCCACGACAGTTCTCCCACCAGAGGGCATTCCTCTAACGGACAGGCCGCGGCACGCGATGGCGAAGCACCGGCAGCCGGTGCTGGCCCTTGCAGTGGATGGTAACCGCGTGTTTGCGGGGTCGCAGGACGGGCTGATCACGCTGTACGACCTGCGCGACTTCCGGTGTGTGTGCACGCTGGCGGGGCACAGCCAGACCATCTTCTCCCTCTCCGTGCACCATGACCGCCTCTACAGCTCCTCCACACGAGTCGTCAAGATCTGGGACACCAAGACCTTCCGATTGCTCTCCACTCTCCGGTACTCCGATGGGGATGTGTTCGCGCTCGCCCTCGCGCTTGGAAGGTCTGTCGCCGGCCCTGCAGGCACCTCCATTGTTCGTTGCACCAGGGCGTCTGCTGCCGCTGCCGCTGCTGCTGCCGTTGCTAAGGGGCATGGGGAGGGGCAGGGGGGTGGGCAGAAGCAGCTGAAGCATCTGCACAGCTTGAAGGATTTCGTGCTTCCCTCGGGTTCCTCCTTTCCCGATGCCTCCACCATGCTGGAAGCTTCTGTGTCACAACCAGCTGGTTCTACTGCTGCTGCTGGTGCTGCTGCTTCTGCTGCTGCTTCTTCTTCTGGTGCCTTCTCTCCATCGCCTGCGGCAGCCAATCACAGGTCGCCAGCTGCCATGGCAGCAGCGGCGGCTGCTGCAGCTGCAGTGGCAGCAGGAGGGGAGGGTGTAGTTTCTTCCACTGGTCGCAGTTTGTCACAGATGAAAGACCCTCAGTTATCAGCCACTGGAAACAGCAGCATCGCTACTGAAACAGCAACACCTGGAGGAAGAGGAGCAGCAGCAGCAGGGGCAGGGGCAGCAGCAGTCGGAGCAGCAGGTGGGTCCATGTGGGAGTCACTTTCCTCAGAGGAGACCCTTTGGCCCCAGGCTTCAGCTCTTGCTACCCAACCTCGCGGTACTGGCTCTGCTACTGCTGCCACTGCTGCTGCTCCTGTTGCCATACCTCAGGCTCGAGCCCGAACCAAAGGCCCAAGCTCGGGACTAGACGGTGGTTCTACAGCAGTGGGGTCTGGTGGGCATGTGGTTCGGGTTGGGTTCGGGGATCTCGCCCAATCGTTGTCACCCGAAGCTCACCTGTACAGCTACCTGGAAGGGGCGAGGTCTGGCGGCGGATCAGCAGCAGGTTCGTTACGTGGCTCGGGAGGGAGGTCTGGAGGTTCGTACATGACAGTGGTAGGTGAGGGGGAGGAGGAGGAGGATGAGGAGGTTGGAGGGAGGAGGGGTACGGAAGGGAATGGTGGGAGTGGGGTGGAGGCAGGTGGGTGTTGTGGCGGGCAGAGAGAGGAGGTGAGAGTGGAAGGGTGGCATCAGGAGGTGATTGGCAGGTTACCTGATAACCAGAATGTAATTATGAACGGTCAGGTGAACGGTCAGGTGAATGGTCAGGTGAATGGCCAGGTGTTCAGTCAGGTGACTGGCCAGCAGCCGCAGCAGCACGATACACAGGCAGCAGGGCAGCAGGAGCAGCATCTGGGAGGAGGGGCGAACCCTTGTGAAGGAGGAGGAGGAGGAGGAGGGCCGGGAGGTACAGTGGTGGGTGGTGGATGCAGCGAAGCTTTAAGCGTGGGTGGTGGTGGTGGTGGTGGAGGGGCAGCAGGATTGGGAGCAGGAGGAGGAGGAGGAGGTGTGGGAGGGGCCAGCAGTGGAGTTGGATGTGGGGCAGGAAGTGGGGGAGGGGTTGGCACGGTGTGCAACAGCACGGAAGCAGCGCTGGTGCTGACAGATTCGAACAAGAATGGTCACTGCAGCCGCGTCTATGCTCTGGCTGTAGCAGATCCCCTCATCTGTAGCGGCGCCGGCGACACCTTTGTCAAGGTGGGTGCTGGGCGGGGTTGTCATATGTGAGAGTTCTTTAACGCCGCTTGGGAGTTGTTAACGTGGTTGGGAGTTCTCAAATGCAGCTGTGGCATTGAGGCGGCACTGCACTCTGTTTCAACCCTTTCCATTAACCTCCCCACTCTGGTCCACCCCTCCACACCTTCACCCACTCCGACCCTTCTCTCCCTCGTACCCTTCTCATCTTGCTCCCTTTCGTCTGTGCTGGTTAGTGACAGGCGAGTGGGTGGCAACGCTGCACAGGAAACCCTTCGATTCGCCCTTCTAGCCCCTTCTCAACACCATCTATCAATCTATCCCTACTCTTCAACTTCAATCTCCCTTCCATCTCGCTGCACTGCCAGGTGTGGTCTTTGGTGACGGGCGAGTGGGTGGCAACGCTGCATGGCCACAAGGGGGGCGTCATGGCGCTCGCCACGGCTGATGCAGCAGCTGACTCCTCCCACCGCTCCTCCTCCTCTGCTCCCAACCTTCTCGGCCCTTCCAAGCCTCACCATGGACCGCCGCCCCGCGCGTCCAAGCCTCTGTGGCGCCTCTTCAGCGGTGCGTGTGCTTTCAATAATTGTGCCCCTGCCTTTTTTCAAAGGAAGTGTGAAAGCCTTCGGGCTGCTGCTCAGTCTATGGGTTGCTCATTCAACCTTGTAGCTTTCCTCATGTCAGCAAGCAACCTGTCTGCTTGCACCTCTGCTTGCTCATGCCGATCCACCCTGTGAACAGTCGGCCATCGAGTAAAGAGCCCGTGCACTCAGCTGTCGCGGCTGTACCTTGTAGTCGCAACTCCTCCTAATCTCCCTATCACTTAATCCCGTTGACACACACATGCTGATCACTTCTGCTGGCCGATGCGGATCACTTTCCGATCCCCTTGTTCCTCTTGCCCTCGTGCCCATGTCCGCTTTCTCCCCAGGGTCACGGGACAACACGATGAGGGTGTGGGACCTCTCTTTTCTTTACTGATGCACCACCATACTTCCCCTCCTGCCCTACTTCCCCCCTCTCCAGGGTCAAGGGACAACACGATCAGGGTGTGGGACCTCTCATCGTTGCTCTGCATCACCACCCTCACCGGCCACACCGACGATGTTGTGGGGCTCGCCACTGGTACAGCGTTCTGTCGCTTGCCCTCCATAGTCATTCTTCCTCTCCTTCTCACCCTCATTCACCGACGATGCCGTAGGGCTCACCACCAATACACTTATCATGCCCATTACCATAAATCCCCTTCTCATTTTCATTCACCGACTACGTCGTGGGGCTCGCCACTGGTACTCTGCCCTCACCTTTTTCATCTTGTTCACAGCATTAACAGCAGCAGCACCACCAACCCCAGGACCAGCCCCAACAGCAGCTGCATGAGCTAGTGCAGCAACAGCCCGAGCTAGTGTAGCAGCAGCCAGAATTGCAGCAACAGCAAAACGAGCTAACCTGCCAGACATTCATACTGATGATAATGGCAAAATTTATGCGCTTGTGAACTTGTCAAACAGCGGATACCTGCGGGGGAGTTTTAGACGCAGGTGGAGGGGAGTACTTGGTCTGACATAACACGTGTGCTCTACACGAGCGAGCCGGCACCTGCTGGAACCATAACGAGGATGGTTTTGATGGTGCGGCACTTTCTAAGCAATGGGAGAATAGGGTTTGTACGAAGCAATAAACAAGCGATGATGAGGTGGTGGAATGAGATGAACGGTGCAAATTTGCAATAAAGTGGGGAATTGGGTGCTAGCGGCAGATTCATGCCGGACGTTTGGACTTGTGTTCAAATTGCAAGGGCGCTGGAGCTGGCGGGTTTTAACGTGGTGACTGCAAAGGCCGCAGCCAAAGGCAGCGGAAGCAGAAGAAGCTGCAGCTGCACTAGATGCAATGGCAGACTTCAACTGCCATTTGCGGCTGCGGCTGTCATTGCTTCTGGTGCAGCTGCAGCTTCTTCTGCCGCCACAGCTGCAGCTTCTGCTTTTGCTGCTTTTCCTGCGGCCTTTGCAGTCGCCAGATCGTAAGACCCGCCAGCTCCAGCGCCCTTGCAGTTTGAACACGCGCCCAAACGCTCGGCAGGAATCTGCCGCTAGCACCCAAGTCCCCCCTTGACTGCAAATCCGCACTCTTCATCTCATTCCACCACCTCATCATCGCTTCTCTATTGCTCCGTATAAACTCTATTTTCCCGTTATCTAGAACGTGCCGCACCATTGAAACCATCCTCTCCATGGTTCCAGCAGGTGTTGGCTCGTTCGTGTGGAGCACCTGTGTTATGCTGGACCAAGTACTCCCTTCCACCTGCGTTTGAAATTCCCCCGCAGGTATCAACTGCTTTGACAAGTTCACAACTGCATAAATCTTGTAATAATCATCAATATGAATGCCTGACAGCTTTGCTGGTTTTGCTATTGCTGCAGCAGCGGCTGCTTCTGCACTAGCTCGGGCTGTTGCTGCACTAGCTCGTGCAGCTGCTGTTGGGGATGGTCTTAGGGTTGATGCTGTGAATATGTTCTTCTTGATAATACACTCTTGCTCCTCACAATTTCCTGATTATCTACGACATCGCCGGCACTGCTAGCGATGTTGAAAAAGTCTCTATTTCCATACCATCTGTCGCTCTGTCTGTCCATCCCATTTGTTACTCTGTCCATCCCATTTCCCTTCCCTCGCCGCCCATGATGCTGCAGGCCCTAACAACCGTCTCTTCAGTGCGTCCGTGGATCACACCATCAGGTACTCACCTCTGCTCCTGGACTGCCCTGGTTCTGTGCTTTGCCTGCATGTGCCTTCCATCCTCCCCCTCCTCACCTCGGTGCACCACGCCCTCATGTTCTGGGCCCCTGTACTCCCCCACCCATCCCAGGGTGTGGAGCATGGTGACATATGAGTGCGAGCGAGTGTTCCTTCAGGAGGGCTCCATCTTCCTCTCCATCGCATGCACGCCCACCGGGGTCGTCACCGGCTCCAGGTGGGTCAGAACAATAACCCTCTTTCTCTTTTCAAGGATGGGCTGGGGTCGTCACCGGCTCCAGGTGGGTTGGGGTAGGTGGCGTGTGGTTCAGTAAGGCCAACAGTATAGCTGCCTGAGGGCTCGCACTACATGGCCTCTCACGTTCTCACAAGCCATAAGCTCAGCTGCAGAAGAATTTTGCTTCACATGGACCCCAGATTTCTCTGAATTTTATGTTCCTCTGACCGTTCCAGTGTTGCGCTTCTCTCTACCCTTCACTTTCCTTTCTCTTTCCCTTCATTCTCCCCCCTCGCTGGCCTCCCCCTTTCACCATTCTCACAGCGACGGTGTAGTGCGGTACTGGGAGGTGGACTCTGCCAGCGTGGACCAATCACAGTCCGCCACGGAGGACAGCAAGGGGCTTCCCACCGCCTCCCACTCGCACCACCTCCCGCATTCCACTCCAAGCTTCAAGCTCCAGGTACCCCCTCCCCCACTCCACGCCAAGATTCAGTCTCAAGGTACCACCTCCCCCATTCCTTTCCGAGATTCAGTCTTAAGGTACCACCTCCCCCATTCCGTGCCGAGATTCAGTCTTAAGGTACCACCTCCCCCATTCCGTGCCGAGATTCAGTATTAAGGTACCACCTCCTTCGACACGAGCAACGAGCTGACATGTCCCAACCCAGGCCAACCCAGCCCGACCCAGGCCAAGCATGGGTCACGTTGGATCGACCCAACCTCAGTCCACATCCCACCACAGGTTTGTGACGCGACCTGTTCGGTTCACATGTTCATGATTCATGCCTATCCGCGCTTGCCTGTCCACATGTTGGCTCCTACTCCATGATCTCTATTTTGTTGCACTCGCGTCTGACCTGGTCTGATTAGCGTCTAATGGGGCCTGGTTGCCTATAAAATCCCGCACTCATGTGTGTATGTGTGTATCTGTGTATCTGTGCATGTTTGTATCTGTGCATGCGTGTGTGTGTGCGTGTATGTGTGTATGTGTGTATCTGTGCATGTGTCTGTGCATGTGTCTGTGCATGTGTCTGTGCATGTGTGTGTGTATGTGTGTGTGTGTGTGTGTGTGTGTGTGTGTGTGTGTGTGTGTGTGTGTGTGTGTATGTGTGTATCTGTGCATGTGTATGTGTGTGCATGTGTGTATGTGTGTATCTGTGCATGTGTGTGTGTGTATGTGTGTATGTATGTATGTATGTATGTATGTATGTGTGCATGTGTCTATGTGTGTATGTGCATGCATGCATGCATGGCAGAACGAGTCGGTGGCGGCGGAGCAGAGGCTGATGGAGGACACGCTGAGGCAGCTGGTGCGCATGAGGACCGTCAGCACATGCACGTCCCGCCTCGCTGCACAGGAGGTGAGTGAGAGGGACCCGCTTGATGCACTTATACCACCCACTGCAGCTGGTGCGCATGAGGACCGTCAGCACGTGCACGTCCCGCCTCGCTGCACAGGAGGTGAGTGAGAGGGGCCCGCTTGATGCACTTATACCACCCACTGCTGCTGGTGCGCATGAGGACCGTCAGCACATGCATGTCCCGCCTCGCCGCCCAGGAGGTGAGGGGCATCCAGGTTGAGCATCGAGAGGGGCCGTCAGCACATGCGCCTCCCACCACGCTGCACAGGAGGTGAGTGTATGGATCCTATGTGGTGGATAATTCTATTGTATTCCGCCGATCCCGTCTCACACTGCCTCTCTCGGGGCTCACTGCTAAGCTAGAGCTTGAATTCTATTTGGTTGGGAGCTTGTGGTCCGCTTGAGTTTCGCTTGTGTTGCTGTGTTCACTACCCTATCCCTCCCTTTTCTCATGGCAGATGTGGCGGGCGGCCAACGTGGGGATGGGGCTGCTGCACTCCCCTCTTCCTCTGCTCCTCACTTCCCTGATTCTCCCCGTCCTGTTCCATCTCCACCCCTTTGCTCATGGCAGATGTGGAGGGCGGCCAACGTGGTGATGGGGTTGCTGGAGGACATAGGGGCGGAAGCCAAGCTAGTGGTGGCCGTGGATGGGACCAGCCCTGTTGTGTTCGGCCGCATCGTGCAGGTGTGGGTTTGTTGTGAGATGAGGCAGCATCGTGCAGTCGTGCTGTGCTTGGCCGTATCGTGTAGGTGCTGTGCGGTTGCCTGTGTTTTGCAGGTGTTGGCTGCATCATGCACGCGCATGCAGGGTGTGCTGTAAGCTGAGGTCGTTTCAGTCTGTGGTCCTGGATTCCTCCCTGCCATTTCCTCATATCCCTAGCCACCGCACAAGTCTCAACAGGTGGGCCTTATGACGCCTTAAGGCGTGGGCACCTCGCAGCGTGCAGTGTGGAAATGGGGCCCACTCTCCCAGACCTCCTTCCTGCTTTTGAGGCACCTTAAAAGCGTTTTTGTTTTTTTTTTTTTGAGTCGCCTCAAAAATAACCTCGCAGCGTGCAGTGTGGAAATGGGGCCTACTCTCCCAGTCCTCCTTCCTACCACCACTCCTCTGACAATCGGAAAATGCCACCTCCATGATGCGTTAAGAGCGGGCACCTCACAGTGTGCACAGCACATGGGGCCCACCCTCCCACTCCTCCTCATTGGAGTCAGTTATCGAGATTTTTTTTTAAGCGTATTTGGTGCTCGCTCACCCTCCCACTCCTCCTCCCTGCGAACCGCCCTCTTCCCTCCCTTTCCACAGGACCCCAGTCGTCTCACGATGTGCATATGCGGGCATTAAGATGTCTTGGGATGGCTGCTCCTCCCACTCCCGCTTTTCCTTCTTCCACAAACCCCCCTTCGGTTCCGCAGGACCCCAGCCGTCTCACCGTGTGCATATGCGGGCATTACGATGTCACGGGTGCAGGCGATATGGACGGTTGGATGAGCGACCCCTTTGATCTGACGGCTCAGGACGGCTTTCTCATTGGGCGAGGGGTGTCGAGCAGCAAGGGCCCGCTGATTGCCTCGCTCTTTGCCATCAAGGTGCGCCGTCGCTGCTGCTGCTGCTGCTGCTGGGATCACAGTAAAGTGATGAATGTGGCAATAGAAGAATGGGACATGCGTCTGTAAGAGCATTTCAGCGAATGGTTTCGCACTCTTGTGTGCCGAGCCGAGGCCCGAGTCACCAAGTGGTCTTCACCAACAACCCCCCTCTGCTTGCCTCGCCCTTTCCTCAGACCTCTCGACTCGTTCCATATCTGCCCTCGTTTTGAGCTGTCTCAGTATCAGCCGGTACCAACCTCCGCTTCAACCCTTTTCTGTTCAATACCTTCCCTCCTTTCCTTCCCATCCGTCACCTTGTTGCCTCACCATGCTGGCAGGATCTGGTGTGTCGGGGCGAGCTGGCAATCAACATTGTGTTTGTGATCGACGGCATGCAGGAGAACGGGTGCAAGGTGAGTGGGGTGTGGTACAGAGTGGTACGATGCGGGTGTAGCATGCAGGAGAACGGGTGCAAGGGGAGTGGGGCGTGGTGCAGAGCGGTGCAATGCAGTGTAGCGTGCAGGAGAACGGGTTCAAGGTGAGTGGGGTGTGGTACAGAGTGGTACGATGCGGGTGTAGCATGCAGGAGAATGGGTGCAAGGTGAGTTGGGTGTGGTACAGGTTGTGCATTGCGCTGTGGGATGCAGGAGAACAGGTGCAAGGTGAGTGGGGTGTGGTGCAGAGATGTGTAATGTGGTGTGGGATGCAGGAGAACGGCTGCAAGTTGAGTGGGGTGTTCCACAGAGTGGTGCAATGCGGTGTAGCATGCAGGAGAATGGGTGCGAGGCGAGTGTGGCGTGGGACGAGACGCAATGTGGTGTATGGCCCCTCTCGCCCCTACCCCTTTCCGCCAGGCTTTAATTGGGCTAACCTATCTGGACTGGTTTGAAACCCTGATTTCTCCTGTCTGTCCGAACTCTCTTCCGATTTCCCCCCTCAGGGTTTCAAGGAAGCAGTGTATGCCAACCTGGACTGGTTTGAGGGCACGGGGCTCATTCTCAGCAGCGATGGCGCGTGGATCAGGTGGGGACTAGGTGCAGCCATGGATCTATTAAGCTGCAGTAATTTTTAGGTGGGGCCGCAGCACAGAGTTAGGGATCAGCTGAGGTTCCCATGACTACTAGCCGTGCCTTGCTCCCCCTCTTGACCGCCACCCGTGTGTCATCTATGGCAGGGCGTCTCTCATCCTGCTTGATTTCTTACCCCCCAACCCCCCTCGTTCCGCCACCCTTCTTCCTTTCCTCCCCCCAGCGACCAGCACCCGTGTCTGATATACGGCATGCGGGGGCTGATCTGTCTGACGGTGGCGGTGAGCGGGCCGCTCAAGGATTTGCACTCGGGCACACACGGGGGCAGCTTCAACGAGCCTCTCAACGACCTTGTCACTGTGCTCTCCAACCTCGTCGACTCCAATAACATGATTCTTATTCCAGGTGAATCCAACAACATGATTCTTATTCCAGGTGAATCCAACATTATGATCCTCATCCCAGGTAAATCCAACAACATGATCCTCATCCCAGGTGAATATAACACGCATTTTGGGTTCAGGTAGAATCAACAGGATGTCTGGCTGGCTTCAGGTGGAATATTATACCGAGTTTTTTGGCATCAGGTGAAAGCGATCCAAACGGTGTCAAATCTCAAGCCATATTTCTCTTTCCTTCTTTCTTTGTCAAAAACTATGGATGCATACTGGCAGGGTTCTACGACGATGTGAAGCCATTGGACGAGGAGGAGGAGGCGTTGTACCAGGGGCTGCACTTCCGAGTGGATGAGTACAAGGTGGGTGCACGAGTACAAGGTGGGTGCACGAGTACAAGGTGGGTGGACGAGTACAAGGTGGGTGGACGAGTACAAGGTGGGTGGACGAGTACAAGGTGGGTGGACGAGTACAAGGTGGGTGCACGAGTACAAGGTGGGTGGACGAGTACAAGGTGGGTGCACGAGTACAAGGTGGGTGGACGAGTACAAGGTGGGTGGGCGAGTACAAGGTGGGTGGACGAGTACAAGGTGGGTGGACGAGTACAAGGTGGGTGGACGAGTACAAGGTGGGTGGACGAGTACAAGGTGGGTGGACGAGTACAAGGTGGGTGGACGAGTACAAGGTGGGTGGACGAGTACAAGGTGGGTGGACGAGTACAAGGTGGGTGGACGAGTACAAGGTGGGTGGACGAGTACAAGGTGGGTGGACGAGTACAAGGTGGGTGGACGAGTACAAGGTGGGTGGACGAGTACAAGGTGGGTGGACGAGTACAAGGTGGGTGCACGAGTACAAGGTGGGTGCACGAGTACAAGGTGGGTGGACGAGTACAAGGTGGGTGGACGAGTACAAGGTGGGTGGACGAGTACAAGGTGGGTGGATGAGTACAAGGTGGGTGGACGAGTACAAGGTGGGTGGACGAGTACAAGGTGGGTGGACGAGTACAAGGTGGGTGGGCGAGTACAAGGTGGGTGCACGAGTACAAGGTGGGTGGACGAGTACAAGGTGGGTGGACGAGTACAAGGTGGGTGGACGAGTACAAGGTGGGTGGACGAGTACAAGGTGGGTGGACGAGTACAAGGTGGGTGCACGAGTACAAGGTGGGTGGACGAGTACAAGGTGGGTGGACGAGTACAAGGTGGGTGGACGAGTACAAGGTGGGTGGACGAGTACAAGGTGGGTGGACGAGTACAAGGTGGGTGGACGAGTACAAGGTGGGTGGACGAGTACAAGGTGGGTGGACGAGTACAAGGTGGGTGGACGAGTACAAGGTGGGTGGACGAGTACAAGGTGGGTGGACGAGTACAAGGTGGGTGGGACGAGTACAAGGTGGGTGGACGAGTACAAGGTGGGTGGACGAGTACAAGGTGGGTGGACGAGTACAAGGTGGGTGGACGAGTACAAGGTGGGTGGACGAGTACAAGGTGGGTGGACGAGTACAAGGTGGGTGGACGAGTACAAGGTGGGTGGACGAGTACAAGGTGGGTGGACGAGTACAAGGTGGGTGGACGAGTACAAGGTGGGTGGACGAGTACAAGGTGGGTGGACGAGTACAAGGTGGGTGGACGAGTACAAGGTGGGTGGACGAGTACAAGGTGGGTGGACGAGTACAAGGTGGGTGGACGAGTACAAGGTGGGTGGACGAGTACAAGGTGGGTGGACGAGTACAAGGTGGGTGGACGAGTACAAGGTGGGTGGACGAGTACAAGGTGGGTGGACGAGTACAAGGTGGGTGGACGAGTACAAGGTGGGTGGACGAGTACAAGGTGGGTGGACGAGTACAAGGTGGGTGGACGAGTACAAGGTGGGTGGACGAGTACAAGGTGGGTGGACGAGTACAAGGTGGGTGGACGAGTACAAGGTGGGTGGACGAGTACAAGGTGGGTGGACGAGTACAAGGTGGGTGGACGAGTACAAGGTGGGTGGACGAGTACAAGGTGGGTGGACGAGTACAAGGTGGGTGGACGAGTACAAGGTGGGTGGACGAGTACAAGGTGGGTGGACGAGTACAAGGTGGGTGGACGAGTACAAGGTGGGTGGACGAGTACAAGGTGGGTGGACGAGTACAAGGTGGGTGCACGAGTACAAGGTGGGTGCACGAGTACAAGGTGGGTGGACGAGTACAAGGTGGGTGGACGAGTACAAGGTGGGTGGACGAGTACAAGGTGGGTGGACGAGTACAAGGTGGGTGCACGAGTACAAGGTGGGTGGACGAGTACAAGGTGGGTGGGCGAGTACAAGGTGGGTGGACGAGTACAAGGTGGGTGGACGAGTACAAGGTGGGTGGACGAGTACAAGGTGGGTGGACGAGTACAAGGTGGGTGGACGAGTACAAGGTGGGTGGGCGAGTACAAGGTGGGTGGGCGAGTACAAGGTGGGTGGACGAGTACAAGGTGGGTGGACGAGTACAAGGTGGGTGGACGAGTACAAGGTGGGTGGATGAGTACAAGGTGGGTGGACGAGTACAAGGTGGGTGGACGAGTACAAGGTGGGTGGACGAGTACAAGGTGGGTGGGCGAGTACAAGGTGGGTGCACGAGTACAAGGTGGGTGGACGAGTACAAGGTGGGTGGACGAGTACAAGGTGGGTGGACGAGTACAAGGTGGGTGGACGAGTACAAGGTGGGTGGACGAGTACAAGGTGGGTGGACGAGTACAAGGTGGGTGGGCGAGTACAAGGTGGGTGGACGAGTACAAGGTGGGTGGACGAGTACAAGGTGGGTGGACGAGTACAAGGTGGGTGGACGAGTACAAGGTGGGTGGACGAGTACAAGGTGGGTGGACGAGTACAAGGTGGGTGGACGAGTACAAGGTGGGTGGACGAGTACAAGGTGGGTGGACGAGTACAAGGTGGGTGGACGAGTACAAGGTGGGTGGACGAGTACAAGGTGGGTGCACGAGTACAAGGTGGGTGCACGAGTACAAGGTGGGTGCACGAGTACAAGGTGGGTGGACGAGTACAAGGTGGGTGGACGAGTACAAGGTGGGTGGACGAGTACAAGGTGGGTGGACGAGTACAAGGTGGGTGCACGAGTACAAGGTGGGTGGACGAGTACAAGGTGGGTGGGCGAGTACAAGGTGGGTGGACGAGTACAAGGTGGGTGGACGAGTACAAGGTGGGTGGACGAGTACAAGGTGGGTGGACGAGTACAAGGTGGGTGGGCGAGTACAAGGTGGGTGGGCGAGTACAAGGTGGGTGGACGAGTACAAGGTGGGTGGACGAGTACAAGGTGGGTGGACGAGTACAAGGTGGGTGGACGAGTACAAGGTGGGTGGACGAGTACAAGGTGGGTGGACGAGTACAAGGTGGGTGGACGAGTACAAGGTGGGTGGACGAGTACAAGGTGGGTGGACGAGTACAAGGTGGGTGGACGAGTACAAGGTGGGTGGACGAGTACAAGGTGGGTGGACGAGTACAAGGTGGGTGGACGAGTACAAGGTGGGTGGACGAGTACAAGGTGGGTGGACGAGTACAAGGTGGGTGGACGAGTACAAGGTGGGTGCACGAGTACAAGGTGGGTGGACGAGTACAAGGTGGGTGGACGAGTACAAGGTGGGTGGACGAGTACAAGGTGGGTGGACGAGTACAAGGTGGGTGGACGAGTACAAGGTGGGTGGACGAGTACAAGGTGGGTGGACGAGTACAAGGTGGGTGGACGAGTACAAGGTGGGTGGACGAGTACAAGGTGGGTGGACGAGTACAAGGTGGGTGGACGAGTACAAGGTGGGTGGACGAGTACAAGGTGGGTGGACGAGTACAAGGTGGGTGGACGAGTACAAGGTGGGTGGACGAGTACAAGGTGGGTGGACGAGTACAAGGTGGGTGGACGAGTACAAGGTGGGTGGACGAGTACAAGGTGGGTGGACGAGTACAAGGTGGGTGGACGAGTACAAGGTGGGTGGACGAGTACAAGGTGGGTGGACGAGTACAAGGTGGGTGGACGAGTACAAGGTGGGTGGACGAGTACAAGGTGGGTGGACGAGTACAAGGTGGGTGGACGAGTACAAGGTGGGTGGACGAGTACAAGGTGGGTGGACGAGTACAAGGTGGGTGGACGAGTACAAGGTGGGTGGACGAGTACAAGGTGGGTGGACGAGTACAAGGTGGGTGGACGAGTACAAGGTGGGTGGACGAGTACAAGGTGGGTGGACGAGTACAAGGTGGGTGGACGAGTACAAGGTGGGTGGACGAGTACAAGGTGGGTGGACGAGTACAAGGTGGGTGGACGAGTACAAGGTGGGTGGACGAGTACAAGGTGGGTGGACGAGTACAAGGTGGGTGGGTGGGTGGCTGTGGCTGGCTCTGTGGAGTACAAGGTGGGTATGGCTGACAGATCGGTGTCACATGCACTGTGTTTCAGCGTTTGCATCAGTAGCAGTAGGCACAGAATGGAGGTGGTGCAGGGTTGCCAGCACATTCCCGTTCGCAAGGAAGAGAAAGGAAGAAGAAGAAAAAACAAAAAACAAAAATGAGGCGGTGAGACCTTGTCCATCTTTTCTGCTACCGCCCCCTCATGTCTTTCCTTTCTGCACCAATCACGGCTGCTGGTTGACAGGAGGCATAGCACGGGAAGCGTTGCAGAGTGGGCAGCGAAATTCTCTCTGCCGAAATAGTAGGCAAGAAAAATGAGGGAAGAAGAATCAGCAAAAAACGTCGGGCCCTCTGTCCTCTCCTCTACCCCCCTCTTCCCCCTCCCTTCCCCCCCCACCCCATGTCAGGCGCGCAACGGGCTGGCGGCAGTGACGGGGGGCACAGCGAGGGAGGTGCTGCAGAGCTGCTGAGAATCCATTTACCCCCCCAACCACGAACTTCTCTGCTATGCCCCCCTCCTCCTCTCATGTCAGGCGCGCAACGGGCTGGCGGCCGTGACGGGGGGCATGGCGAGGGAGGTGCTGCAGAGCTGCTTGGTGATTGTGCGGCATCCCTTTACCCCCTGCTCACTTGAGTTCTCTGCTCTGCCCCTCTGCTCCTCTGCCCCCCTCCCCCCACCCCCCACTCCAGGCGCGCAACGGGCTGGCGGCAGTGACAGGGGGCACGGCGAGGGAGGTGCTGCAGAGCTGCTGGCGCAGCCCGTCGCTGAGCGTGCTGGGCGTCTCCACCTCGCCCTCCTGCGCGCCCTCCTGGTCCTCCCTCCCCAAAGCTGCTTCCGCTAGGGTACGCGCCTCTACCCCTGCCAGACCTCGTTACCTGGCCTCCTCCCCTTCTGGTCCTCCAACCCCAAGGCTGCCTTCGTCAGGGTAGGCCCCTCATTCCCTTTTGCTCGCCCTTCTGGTCCTCCAACCCCAAGGCTGCCTTCGTCAGGGTAGGCCTCTCACCCCCTTCCACTGAACATCTCATCCTCCTTTGACCACTTTTCTCTTCGTACTTGTTATATTTCTCCCCCGAGTGGTGATCTGGCATGTGGGGTGGGGAACCAGAGCCAGATCTTTGATGAGCTTTAATACCTTCCTCCCCTTCCATTTCGCATGGCAGGAGGTGATCTAGCACGTGCTAAATCGAAATCCTGATTTCTTTTTCTCTACTTCATCTGCCCCTCTTCCATTCCGCGTGGCAGGTGGTGATCCGGCACGTGCCGAACCAGAACCCTGACCGCCTGGTGCATCGGTTCCGGGCGCACGTGGCGCATGAGTTTGCCAAACTGCGGTCTGCGGGGAACTCCGTGACAGTCACGGTGGAGCACGTGGGCGACTGGTGAGTGGCGGTGTGATGCACACACACACCAGCATACTGGTGATTGGGACGTGGGCTACCGGTGAGTGTCACGTGAATGACTGGTGAGTGGCACGTCGGCGACTGGTGAGTGGAGGTGTGATGCACACCCACACCAGCACACTGGTGATTGGAACGTGGGCTACCGGTGAGTGTCACGTACTGGTGAGTGGCACGTCGGCGACTGGTGAGTGGAGGTGTGATGCACACCCACACCAGCACACTGGTGATTGGGACGTGGGCTACCCGTGAGTGTCACGTGAATGACTGGTGAGTGGCACGTCGGCGACTGGTGAGTGGAGGTGTGATGCACACCCACACCGGCACACTGGTGATTGGGCGTGATTGGTGAGTCACGTGGGCGACTGGTAAGTGCCACGTAAATGACTGGTAAGTGCCACGTAAATGACTGGTAAGTGCCACGTGGGCGACTGGTGAGTGCCACGTGGGTGATTGGTGAGTGGTGGTGTGATGCACACACACACAGGCACACTGATGTTAGAGACGGGGGCAACTCGTGAGTCACATGGGCGAGTGGTGGGTGACCGGTGAGTGGTGGTGTGATGCACACACACACAGGCACACTGGTGACAGGGACGTGGGTGACTGGTGAGTGGGCACACACACACATACATACATACATACATACATACATACATACATACATACATACATACATACATACATACATACATACATACATACATACATACATACATACATACATACATGCATGCATGCATGCATTGATGCATGCATGCAAACATACATACGTACATACATACATCCATACATCCATACATACATACTTTAGACAGATATGCATACATACAGATATACATACATAAATGCATGCATACATGCAAACATAGGTACATTCGTACGTACTACATACATGGTGGCTGTCATTGTCGCACGTGGCCAACTGGTGAGTGGCATGTGGTGCAGACACACACACACACGTCCCCCCCTCCACACTCACACACCCCCCCCCCCCCACACACACACATATTTACACACAAACACATACAGACTTCCCCCCCCCCCACACGCACACATACACATACACCCATATGCGCGCGCGCGCACACACATACACACCCACATACACATTTGAGTCCATGTAATTAGCAAGGTCTTTGCATCTCAAAACTGTCTGGTACGCTTAGTGAAGGAGTGCATACTGACCAAACTGACCAATGGATCAATTTCTCGGTGCATATGCATTAGATACCTTTTCTTTTTTCTAGTCAACTAGATTAGTCCAATTTCTACGTTTTCACCATATATAACCATTTGATTCCATGTAATTTGCAAGATTTAAGCGTCTCAACTCTACCTGGTACACTTATTGCAGTTGCGCATACTGACCAAACTGATCAGTGCAGGCGATTGGTGGACCCTTCCTGCTCATTCTACCAACTCGATGAAAAGTGCATGTGTGCATCCTTCCACATCAGCTAATGCCCAGTCACCCAGTGCCTTTGAGTGTCCTTCATTCCATGCCCGCACATTCCCCGTTGTTTGCACTCCTCTCCTCTCCAGGTGGTTGGCAGACCCCTCCTGCTCCTTCTACCAGCTCGCAGAGAAGTGCATTCAGAGGCACTGGGACATGCCACCCATGTGAGTCTTAAACCCCTTCACTGCTACTGGGACCTGCCGCCTATGTAAGCTTGGATTTCCGGTGGTAATCCTTTGCATACCTTTTGACAATTGTCGTGTCGACTTGTAGTCACCAAATAAGGGATGTGCTTCGGGTGTGTGCTCCATGTCGCGTCACAACAAGCCATGTCAGCTGATCACCCCCTTCCTCCATGCCCACCCCCACAGGTACATCAGGGAGGGTGGCACGATGCCGGTGGTGCCATTTCTGGAATCAGCCTTGGGAGCGCCGGCCATCAAGATTCCCATCAGCCAGGCCACCGACGGCAGCGCGCTCCAGGTGGGCCTCAGGCTGCTTCGCAGGTGGTTGCAACAGAAGATTGTTCGTTTCAGGTGTATCTGAAGGTTTCCCAGGTAGTTGCTTGCAACAGATGGCAGTTTGCTTGCTTCAGGTGCGTGGATTAGCCTCCCACCCGAATCAGACAGGGGTGTGATTCATGTGGGAGGCAAACCCATTTTCCCCCTCACTCCTCTGGACCCTGACCTTCCTTATCTCTTTGGTGTGTGACAGAATGAACGGCTGGGATGGAGCCACCTCATCAAGGGCAAGGATGTGATCCGGGACTTTATCAAGGCTCTGGGGGACGGCAGCCGCAGCTGCTGATGTGATGTCAGCATCCGCTGCTGATGTCAGCCTTACCATGGCCAAGAGGGTCATCATGTCGCTGCAAGTGAGTGGGAGGCGGGTGTCATCTGCACTGGTCAGGGTCGTTAATAGATGGCACGTACGTATGTTTGGGGATGTCATGCTTTGAGCTGCCAATGGGGGGCCTGTGCACCCAACGGTGCAGTGTTGAGGCATGGAGAGATGGGGAGTACAGCGGTGAGGGAGCATGGAAACACAGTTTGATTCCCTTTATTGATGGGGTATATGCTGATCAAACCATACCCACAAGTATTGGTAGCGGTTGAGGGTAGCACCAGCTCTGCTTGTGAGTCGATGCGTTGTATGTACCGTAATTATGGAAGAGTATGTATACAGGTCTCATTTTTGTAGCATTAGGTTTCCTCTCCTCCATCTATACATTCTTGTAGAAGAGAGAGCAGTGTATGTTTGATGTAGTCTGCACTGCTCATAAACTCTCATGGTGAACTAGGTACCGTATTTTTCCTAATCCCACTGCTCTTACCGTATGAACACTTTTTGAAACGACTCAAAATATCTCAGCGCAACACTTATTGCACAGAAGCATGAGCGGCAGCCCTTAACTCTACACATCCTTGCACTAGCGTCTACTTGATCTCAATGCACTGAAGAGTTCCTCAGAGTCTTCCCAAAGGAGATGATCGACGGCTACCGCAGGATCTCTAATTGAAATTGGAATCTATAATATAACCAAGAAATTGGCCTCGACATACAAGTAACAGAACAGCTGCCAGACCGTCTGTAAACCCTGCACATTTCTCATCATCGCAGCAGCATCCACTTGATCTCAGCGCACTTCTGACTGCAGCCTCAATCGCCGCATCCTCGTCCTTCTCCCGCCAGTAGACCCCATACCCCATACATACCCCACCCTACCCATGCACCATTGCAGCAGCAGCTTTATCTACTTGATCTCAGCGCACTGCCGGGGCCCGGGGTCCTCTCTCAGGCAGTTATCGATGGCAATGACAGCAGCCTCAATCGCCACATCCTCGCCCTTCTCCCGCCAGTAGAACATGTTGCCATACTTGCCAGCTAGCCGGCTCCAGAAGCTTCTGGGCACCGACAGGTCCACGGTCGAGCCAACATTGAAGTTCAGGAGGTTGCCTGAGATGAGTGGGTTGGAGGGAAGAGGAGGGTTTCACAAGATGCTTAGTTGGTGGGAGAACGAGTGGGTTGGAGGGAAGAGACGGGTTTCACAAAATGCTTAGTTAGTGGGAGAATGAGTGGGTCGGAGGGAAGAGACGGGTTTCACAAGATGCTTAGTTGGTGGGAGAACGAATGGGTCAGAGGGAAGAGACAGGTTTCAGAAGATGCTTAATTGGTGGGAGAACGAGTGGGTTGCTGACCATGCCCATGTCCAAGCACGATGCACCATGACCTTCCCTCTACAGCATACCCATGCACATGACCATGCTCATTGGCATGTTGATCAATGGCTGAGATGCTCTCACCCATGTTGGGGTCAGCAACGAACACCACAGTCTCATCAACCCATCCCCCAGGAGTCCCGAATGACCAACAGATAGATCAACGGCTGAGATGCACTCAAGTATGTCAATCAACGGCTGTGATGCAATCTCCTATGTTGATTAGCGGCTGCGATGCACTCACCCATGTTGGGGTCAGCGACGAACACCACAGTCTCGTCGTCCACCCCCCAGTAGTCCCGAATGGCCAACCCTGCCATGGCGCCACACACAACATGGGAGGGCGGCACGAGAAAATGCGTTGCAGTGGTGGATGAGAGGAAGGCGGAGGAAAGTGGGAAACATAAAGCGAGTGAGAAGCTGGTAGAAAATGAGCCTGAGATCACACAATGAGTACTCGAGAACTATGCACAATGATGCTGTTTCTTTGCAATTTACCCGGAGTGTTAGGGTAGTTTTGCGCCAGTATCCTCAGTTTATACCCCGTGTCTTGCTCCAATCTCTCCACGTCCTTCGCCAGCCGTTGCTCCTGCGGGCAGCAAGAGAGAGAAGTGGGAGACGTAAGAGGTGAGAAAAAAGGAAAGAAACGACCATCCATCAAACGAGATCCTTACAGGACTGAAGAGACTCCGGCGGGTCAATGAAATACATGCATTACCATTCCCGTGCTACAGTTAGCTGGAACTCACCATCACCCTCTCGCCCACTCTCACCCTAACGCATGAGCACCACCCATCCGGACGGCTAGCCGTCTAGCTCACCTGGCCGGGGGAGAGGAACCCTGCAACGTCGATGACGGTGGTGAACTCCTTGGGCAGCAGCTCCGGCTTGTTCACCCCCTCTGGCCGTGCCTCGGCAATCCCTAGGCCTGCCAAAATCACGATTCGCGAAATGTTGGGGAGGAATCAAACGCGGTGCAGGTGGGGTCAATGTAGCGAAACCATGTTTTTTGAATCTCAATGCTGAAATGCCATCCTGATGTGATGTCAACATTCTGCGATTCAATCAAGATGAAATGCGATTCCCAGTCACCACAGGAAATGCAGCCACCATGACCCTCCAGCGATTTTTAACGCTGGCAGCAGGAAATGCAGCCCACGCGTTATATTTGTTTGTTTGTTTCTTCCGTTTTTCAAAGTACGAACGACGCGAACGCAATCAATTCGCGTCGATGGTGTCCCGCATGTGTCGATCGATCGCGAGGGGAACGAGTTGCTGCAAGACGGCTTCACAGTCAACTCAAAAGTGAACATGTTGCTGAGATAGGCAAAGGTTGTCGCGACGACGCACCACTCAGTCTTCGCTATAGTCAGCCAGGTTCACACGCCTATTTATAACATGGTTTCGTGAGAGAAGGAATAAAGGCCAAACGACGTTGGCGAAGGTGTTACCTGCTGACAGGGCGACGGCCACGCTCGCGGACGTGGCGACGACGAGTTTCGCGGATTCTTGCGCCAATCTCGCGACTTCGTGTTTCCAGGCAGATCCGTCCTTCGCGGAGCTGTCGGATTGGGACGGGGCCTGCGAGTGTGCACGAATGGACGAAATTCGTCGAAGTGGTAACTTCGTTGACAAAGAATCAGCAGAGCTGCTGGCTCCTGCGGACATCCGCTGCCTCTGCAGCGACGCAGGGATGGCCATGGCGCGAACCGCGGTGGCAGCAGCCATTGTAGGGACGAGGAAAGCAGAGGGAAATGGCTACCAGGAGAAGGTGAAACGGAGCCACTGGCACGAAGAGCACAAAGCTCAGTTAGCCAAATGATATATTTTAGAACTGCCTGACTCGTGAGTGAAGAGAACAAGGACGATCAATGTGGCCGTAATGTGGTGATGGATGCTCCGGCCTAGAAGGTTTGAGAGGTCAGCTCTCACATTGCCATCTTCTCCTGCTATGGAGCAATTTATCACCATTTCAATGTTTTTGAGGGATATTTGGTAGAACACATAGCCACGCCCGCTATTCCTTCTGAAAAGGTTTGGCCCCGTCTGCAACGAATCTTTGTGAGGCTGCAACGACTTTGCTTCCAGGCCCAGCCCAATTTTTGCCACCCGGATCCACTCCTGAGAAATTAGGACGGGCAGGGATTCGGATAACAATAAATAAATTTGCTGAATTTGACGTTGGTATTGTAGCCGTACACTTCAGTGTTGAGTCAACATTCTTCGTGGCGTGGGTCGAGCCACAGAGCTGACGTCACCCTTCGCTGATCTGACGAGGCAGCGAGGAACTCTAAATGCCACGTGAGTTGAAAACAGACGTGGCATCAGCTCCACCAATGGTCAACTAACAGCCGCATCAGCACATGACATTGAACGATGCGATTAGCTTGGAAATACAAACAACACGTTTCACTCATGTGTTCCAACTCTAAATTAGGAGGAAAGGCACAATCCAGCAGCTTTATTATGCTACACATACCTTAACTCTGGAGCGCTGATCAGAGTCACACCTCATAATACAGAGACACTGAAGCAACATAACATCATGCAAGCTTAGGAATACATCCACATGTTACAACAGCTGGGGGTACAACTCTTGTTGCATATCCACACCCCCTCTCATCCTCTCAACCACCATTTCCACCCCGTCCTTCCCTCTCCTTCCTCCAGGCCCATCCCCGCACACCCTTCCTTGCCCCTTGAGACTTGCCACCAGGTCCTCCCCCTCCACCTTCACCACGTCCCTCCTCACCCCCACGTCCAGCGCCACTCGGCTCAGGCTGTACGACCCTGCACACCCACACAGAGACACACGCATACACACACAGACACACACACTCATCAACACGCAGAGCGAGGAGTTTAGAGAGCAAGGGGTTTAGAGAAGCCAGCAAGAGCGCCACATACATCATGCTATCAGGTGGGAGATGTGGGAGCGCTGGTGAAGGCACTGCCTCAGTCACACCAGCTGAGAGAACAGCTGGCATTTATATGCACCAACTCACCTCCCACCCATGCCAGCACCATGTGCAGCACACCATCTCCGCTCCCCCTCACCTCTCCCAACCCCCCCCCGCCAATCTCACCGGCGAACACAGCAGCAGCAGCCAGGGGGCCGACGAGCAGCAGGGGAACGGCGGCGGTGGCAGAGGCAAAGTTGAACCCAAAGAACGCAGCGGACTGGCCGCTGGTGCCCACGCGGGTCTTGTCCACCACGAGTGCACGCGTCTTGCAGAACACGGCAAAGTCCTCACAGTTGTTGTCCAGCACGTGGTAGCGCCCAAAGCCCTCTTTCAGCAGCAGACGTGCTCTGTATCAGGAAAGAGTACAGTGGAAGCCAGGTCATTTACGAGCTGCACGGGTGGGTCTTCCAGTACACGGCAAAGTCCTCACAGTTGTTGTCCAGCACGTGGTAGCGCCCAAAGCCCTCTTTCAAGAGCAGACGTGCTCTGTATCAGGAAAGAGTACAGTGGAAGCCAGGTCATTTACGAGCTGCACGGGTGGGTCTTCCAGTACACGGCAAAGTCCTCACAGTTGTTGTCCAGCACGTGGTAGCGCCCAAAACCCTCTTTCAGGAGCAACCGTGCTCTGGAGGAGAGAATACAGAGGGAGTGGGATCATCTAACGGCTGGCATGGGTCGTGATGAGGGGGTGGGTCGTGCAGTACACGGCGAAGTCCTAGCAGTTGTTGTCCGGCACGTAGTAGCACCCAAAGCCCTCTCTTAGCAGCAGACGCGCCCTGGAGGAGGGTAGAGAATGGGAGACATGCCAGTTGACAGCTATCAGCACAAGCAAACGAGTCTTGCAGAACACGGCATGAAGTCCTCACAATTGTTGTCCAGCACGTGGTAGCAGCCTCCCTACAAGCACACTCAATCCTACCTCTGCACCACTGCATGCGGAGCATCAGGAACTGCCATGCTGCACGTGCCGCCTCGCATCTGCAGGCAGAAGCACCCCACCGACACGCCGTAGTCGAATCTGAACAGCCGCCCGCCGTGCAGGAAGCACCGCAGGCACGACGAGATCACGCCGTGGCTGCTGTCCTCTGTTCCACAGGCTCGGCATGGCGCCGAACCTGCACCGCCAGGTCTGGCAGCAGCAATCCCAACAGCATCAGCACGGCCAGAATCAGCAGCAGCAGCAGCGGTGGTGGTGGTGGTGGTGGTGGTGCGTTGAAGGGCGGGGGAGATGGAAGCAGCATAGTCTAGAAGGGCGTTGGAGCCGATCTCGTCTGCCTGCTGGCGAGTGAAGTGAATCACCTCGTCCGCTCCCACGTACACTCCTGCGGTAGTCAAGCGGTGGGCGAGACGAGAGGGGAGGGATTCGTGTAAAGGCACGTCGTGCTGCTGCAGATGGCTTCATATGCATCCACGTACACTCCCGGGGTAGAGGGTGAGATGGGAGGAAATTCCACTTTACACTCGAGTTACCATGGTGAGAATAAGACATGCCGATGCGCCACGAGAAGATGTGGTCGCCCGCCTTCAGCTCGTCTCGCCGCACCTCCGCGGGATGCCACAACCCCCCCGCGCCGACCGCCATGCTCTCCGCGTCGCAGTGCGAGCGTGCTCAAATCCTACATCTATGTCTGCTTCGTCTCCATATGTACAGTACGATTCAATTGATTTAGAGTAAAGAAGCCTTCAGGACAGAAAAAAAATGCTATAACATTCTTCAACTGAACGTGCGACTCGAGTGCTTCAACTACAGTTCCCGAATGTCTGATAAAATCTCGGAGATGACGAAGGGAAGTGTTGTTGGCAGATGCGAGAGCTCTGGCCAACGAGTCACGGTAGCGATGTGTGCGAGTGTCGTTGGAGCAGCTGTCGTGAATCGTGATACGTGCGACACTACTGGCGTAACCTTCACCGTCGTTCCTTTCTCCTTGTTAGTCATAAAAGCAGCTCACATGGATGCTGTCGAAGGGGTGGGAGAGTGTTACGAGTGCAATTGAAAGAGCGAGTGAGAATTGCACTATCGAAGCAATCAATACAATTGAGCGAAAAGCATGAGCGAAGTTATATAGCGAAGCTAGCGTGGTAACGGTAATGCGGGAAATTGGGGTGCGCTACGGGCCTAGCAGGTTGGGAATTGTCGAGGCGGAGGTCCGGAGCGCGGGTTACCAACCGAACCGTGAGGTTGGGTCGCATCGTGAACAGTGGCGGGAGTCGTGGTCGAGGCGAATGTCGCGAGCGGGTAACGTTCACGGATGGGTGCCGATGGCGGGAACGGGCATGTACGCGGTAAGCAGGGACGCGAAGTAAGGAAAAGGAATTTTCCTTACACTACCCCCCCCCCCCCCAAGGAGGCCCCTCTTACGAGAGCGCGTGTACATCTCGAAAGTTTCGGCTACGCAGATACTCAGTCAAGACAGGGTGATTCTCAATTCTATCCAGGGGAACCCAATTGTCTTCGGTTGGCGTGCGGTCTTTCCAGCGGATTAGAAATTCGATCCTGCGGGCTCCCCGTGGGTCACGTACTCGGTGGCTCAGTATTTTTTCGGGCGTGATGGTTGGCTCTGTCGGTGGTCGTGTCATGCTGGCGGGGCGGTTTCGAGGCAGTTGGCTGGTGGATGGCACGTATGGGCGAAGCAGGCTGACGTGGAATGACGGGCTGACGTACCAGTCAGCAGGGAGGAGGAGATGGGCGGTGACAGGTGTGATCACGTGGCTTATGCGAAATGGCCCGCAATATCGGGGGCGGAGTTTTGGGGTGATGGGCAGCCGGAGGTTTTGAGTGTCGAGTAAAACTAGGTCGTCAGGCTGGTGAGTGACAGGTCGGCGGTGGCGGTCCGCGTTGCGTTTAGCGATGATGTTTGATTTTTTTATTGCTTCTGCTGCTCGAGTCCGTGCTGCTTGCAGTATTTCTGCGATCTGTTGCGCGGTGGGACTGGGTTGTCGGGATTCGGGGTCATGGGTACTGTGGGGTCTTGTCCGTAGTTCAAGTAAAATGGTGACTGTTGGGTCGTGGCAGATGGCGAGTTGTTGTACGCGAATTCGATGAGTGGCAGTTGCTGTTCCCACATGGTCGGGTCGTCGCAAGTGGCAGCTGTTCCATGGTCTGATTTGTCCGTTCTGTCTGTCCGTCGGTTTCGGGGTGGTATGATGAACTGAACTGTAGTCGCGTGCCGAACTGCTGCCACAGGTTCCGCTAGAAGTTGCTGGTGAATTTCGTGTCGCGGTCGCTGATGATCGCTGCTGGTATCCTGTGTAAACGAACGATGGTGGCGATGAAGAGGCGAGCTGTTTCTTCGGCTGTGATTGATTTCTTGCATGCTGCGAAATGTGCCATTTTCGTCAACCGATCGACGACGACCAGGATCGCGTCGTTCCCACTTGATCCAGCCGGTAACCCCGTGACGAAGTCCATCGTCACCTGCTGCCAAGCACGCTCTGGGGGTGGTATCGGCTGCAACTGTCCTGCCGGTCGTTGTCGTGACGACTTCATGAGCTGGCAGGTGAGACACGATGCCACGTGTCGTTGCACGTCGGTCAGCATCTCAGGCCAGTAGTAATACCGCTGCAGCTGCTGCCGTGTTTTCTCTACCCCGAAATGTCCTGAGGTAACCCCGTCATGTGCCTCCTGTAGTAACAGCTCCCTTAGTAAAGTGTAGCCCGGTACCCAGATGCGGTCGGTGCCGGCTTTTACGAAATAAACTCCTTTTGCTGCTGCGAACTGCTACGAGTTTCCTCCTGTGAAGAACGGGTCTGTCTGGTATCCGTGGGTAAATAGGCCTGTCAGCAGTGGGCTAGTCTGGGCAAGTAGTATCGCGTGGAGTTGGGCAGTAGGGCGGGTCAGTGCGTCGGCAATGTTTGATGCTCCCTTTTTATAGGTGACCGTGTAGTGGAAGTTTGACTCAAGAAAATCGAGCCAGCGGATCTGTCGTGGGTTGAGGTGGGGCTGTGCGCGAAGGTACTGTAGGGATCGGTGGTCTGTCCGTACTGTCACGTCTGCGCCAGTCAAGTAACAGCGCCAGACTTTGAATGCATGCAGGATCGCGAGCATTTCGCGGTCGTGTATCGGGTAATTTTTCTCGGGCGGATGCAGCTTTCGTGACTCGTATGCGATGGGCTGTAGGCCGTTGCCGAAATCCTGTAGCAGTACGGCTCCAATAGCGATGTCGCTTGCGTCTGGTACTACTTCGAAGGGGCGGTGTGGGTCAGCGATGCGCAGTACGGGCGGTGAACAGAGAACAGTTTTCAGGGCAGAGAAGGCAGCCTGCTCTTTCTCCCCCCACGTAAAAGCGACCCCCTTCCGCAGCAGATCCGTCAGTGGGGCTGTTAACCTCGCCATGTCGGGGACGAACCGACGCACGTAATTAACGAACCCTAAAAAACTCTGCAGCTCCGTGATATTTGTCGGGGGGTGCCACGCCTGTACCGTGTCCAGCTTCTTTGGGTCGATTTCAACCCCAGCCTCCGAAATAACGTGTCCTAAAAATTCTAACCTGTCCTGAAAAAACTCGCACTTGGAACCCTTGGTCAGTAACCGGTGCTCGTCTAAAACCTTAAAAACTGCTTCCAGATCTTCTAAGTGCTGCTGCTTATCGCGACTGTAGACTAGGATGTCGTCGAGGTAAACTATCACGCATTTATCTAAGAGTGGTCTGAACGCCTCGTTCATGGTCATCTGGAATGTTGCCGGTGCGTTGGTCAGCCCGAAAGGCATTACGGTGTACTCGAATGACCCGTACCTAGTCCTAAATGCTGTCTTGGCGCAGTCTGATGGTTCGACCCGGATCTGGTGGTAACCTCCCCGTAAATCAATTTTCGAAAAGACCCGTGCTGTTCGCAGTTGATCTATCAGTTCGTCGGCGCGGAGAATGGGGTATCGCGACTTGACTGTAACCCTGTTCAGTGCTCTGTAGTCGATGCACATTCGGAAACCTCCGTCCTTTTTCGGTGTGAACAGTATCGGTGCGGCGAACGGTGATGAACTCGGTTGGATGAATTTCTTTTCCAGTAGGTAATCTAACTGCTTCCTTAGTTCGTCGAGCTCGGGCTGTGTCAGTCTGAACTGCCGCTGTACGGTTGGCTGTGCCCCGGGTTCTAACTCTATCCGGTGGTCGTGTGCTCGCTGAGGTGGCAGTCCCTCTGGTAAGTCGTCGGGAAAAATCCCCGGGTATCGTTTCAACAGTTCCTATAGTTCGGGCGGTACTGCTGCCAACAGTTTCTGAAAATCGCTCGGCTGCTCTGCTTCTTCTACCACTGCGATGTCCACTGCGTACACGTCAGCTCCAGCGGCGACTGCCCGTTTCATTGTGATAGCATTGACGTGGACCGTTGAAGACTCAGGCGACTGCCAGCGAGGTAGCTCAACCCAGTTACCGCTACTTCGCACAGTGCAGCTACCTGTCGTCCAGTCGATTCGTGGGTTATATCGTCGCAGCCAATCACGTCCCAGTAAAATGTCGTGCCCATCCAATGTCGTCGCGAGCATTTCCTGTGTAAACCCAAAGTTCCCCCCGCAGCGGACCTTTACCCTCTCCACCTTCTCCCGTATGGCCAGCGGCGTTCCGTCCACTAAGCGTGCATCTATTTCCGGTAAACACCGACTAAGTGCCAGTTGCAGCTTCCGGGCGGTCGCGGTATTAACTAAACTGTGACTTGCTCCCCCGTCTATAAAAATCTTCACTGCTGCCCCCTGTATTTTCCCGTGGATCAGTACTGGGCAATCCGTCGCTGTACCCTCCTTATTCGTCCGAGCCCGATCGATAGCATGAATCGGTACTGTGACTCGGTGAGGGTCGGTGAGGATGGGCGAGCAGGCAGTCTCGTCAGTAGTTGGCCCGATTCCTACTGACTGCTGGCGTTTCCCTGCCTTGGAGACTCCCTCCCCTGCTCTACTCCGCGGCACCTCAGCTCCTCTGGGCACTCACTCTTGCGATGGCCCGGCCTATTGCAAGCAAAGCAGCGCCCCTTAAACGGCGCGGCAGCTGCATTTGTCGCAACGGCATGTACAGTGGCGTGCTCGATCGGTCCCCGAGGGCGATGTCCGTAGTAGGACCCCGGTCTCGGACGGCGTAAGATGTCGATTTTCTCGGCGAGCGCGAGAATCTCGTTGAAATTCGAGAGTCCGCGTAGCATGATTTCGTGCGAGATGTCCGGCTTCAGCCCTCCAACGTAACGGTCCACCCGCTCCGCTTCGTGCATGTAGCCGACTTGTTCGCATAATGCGAGAAAACCACTCGTGTAGTCTTGAACCGACCCGAGCTGCCGCCAAGTACGCAGTCTCTGACGCGCCGAAATAGAAGCCGCGATCGGCTCGAAGCACGCCCGAAGCCCTGCGCACCACGCATCCCACGTGCTGTACTGGGCTGTTTCGCAGAATGAACTCCATGTGACGGCTGGACCCGTGGGCCCTTCCTCTTGTGACGGTGGCTCGTAGGCGCGTGGCGACGTCACGATGACTCGCCACCAGTCCATGGCGGGGCCCCTCAGCAGCGAAACAGTGTAACGAATCTTCGCTGCGTCCGATTCGACGTAATTCGCGTCGAAGAAAACGTTCATCGTGAAGACCCACGATTGAACCGTCGGACCTCC